GGCGGAGCCACCTGGCTCTCCACCAATCGCCGCGGGGCAGGCCGGGTCACCGTCGGGGGCGGTGGCGGCCGGCGGATTGCAGGGAAGGCATACAGTGCTCGTCCGTCAAAGTGACGCATAAATTAACGAGGTACGAATGTGGTGACGGCACCGGCGCCTGAATGGAGTCCTCTGGCGTGCCGGCCGGTCGTTGTGAAGTGCCGTGCCGCACTGGTGCACAAATCATGAACAATGACACAGGAGCAATGTGAAAAGCTTCTCTGTCATTTCCCAATTTGCATAATTTATGATTTTTCAACATCGTATTTCACTGCACCATCACGGTACTGCCACGCCTTGTAGTTGCCGAGGCGTGGGCGTTTCCACGCCCCCTCTAGTGCGGCTACTGGGCTATGTAGCGAAGAGCGGTATCACCGTTTAAAAGAGAGTCAAAAACAATAAAGTCAAAATGCATTACAAGAGTAATTTGGTCATACTTAGGGTGGCAGCCCAAAGTCACCGTCACCATCGGCCAGCAAATAAGGCCGCCAAAGTATAAAAAACTAATAACCTCGATATTAACGTTCTTTGACAAATTGACTCAAAACACAACAGATTCGACATCTTTTATCAGACAAGCTTCCGCAAATGAGGCGTCAGATCTGAAATAATTAGGTAGATGATTTGGCCTCCGGGGGCAAAACAAACGTCACAATTAAACTTTTTGTATAACTTCCGAGTCGATGGTAAAAAGACGGAAAACGGCAATCGAAAGCTCTCAACAAGACGGACCTTTAAAGTACAGAAACTTCTGCCCAAGTAGTTAGGTCACAGGTCAGGTCAAGATCAGGTCAAGAAGGGTATAAGAATGCTCATGTTTCTAATTTCTACGACGTACATTACTGGCTTTGGAGACCAGTTGACGAAGAAATGAACTGGGATTGGTCACCCAAGACTTGTTCTTGGAATATCAAAACAAGATGCATTGCATGCAATGTCATGAGGAGGTCAAGGTAAAGGCAAGTTCAGATCACCAAAGACGAACTACATATAGAATAGGATACCTATGCGTGACACATGTTTTATGGGTCATATAACTGATAAAACTCAATGGACATACACAACTAGTGATATGGAACATATTTTGATTAAGTTCAAGTCGTGGTCAGGTCAAGGTCAGGTCAAGTGAGCTCATATTTTGAGATTGATTGTTAAACCGCACCCTGATGAGAGGCCATTTTGCTCCCCCTCTGTGGTTTTTCTTGAATACAAGTAGCGGAAAACGGCGGCGTGCAGCGCCACCAAATTTTCAGTACCTTTTTATACACCAATTTAACACATTCACACATAATTTCAAGTCATAGGTCACCTTAGGTCAGGAGTTATTGAGGTCAAACTGAGATCATGTTCGAGCAAAAATGAGCAAAAAATATATGAAATCTTTAACCCTCTAAAGTCTAATATGAAATGTTCAATCAACCAAACGAATAATTGTTGCATTTAATGGTACCAGACAAAAGTACAAAACTAGCAAAAGTATACACTTTTGCCCATCCTGCGTCTCAAATTTCACTGGAGACGCACAATTTTATGATAAGTAAGCAACCTTTGCTTCTACTTTACACAGGATATAGGTACATAAGTAAGAACGGGCTACGCAGTTACGCACCTTTGGTCTTCCTGTGCTTTTGTGTTGTAATGGACTAAAGTTGTTTGAAGATTATTTCAGTTGTATTTATGCATACGCACGGATAAACGAGCACCTAACCCGGCCGGGCCCGGGGGGTAATCCCAACCACCGCAGCCCGGGGGGGGGGGGGCGTTTTTCGCCCCCCCCCTGTCTAACTCCGTAAATAAGGGAGCTACGGAAACAAAAGCAATACCAAACGAAAGGTCCTCACGAGACGATTCTAGTGCACCTAAAATTTTTGACCTCAGGTCAATTTTCAAGGTCAGAGGTCAAGGTCAAAGGCAAAAACCGCCATATGTGTAGTGATCTCAAAGTAAGCCTTCTAGAGGACGGCAGGCTGCATCAAACCGGCAAAATTGGCTGTCAAACGAAAGAAGAGGATCTGAGGATTCTGAAAATGTGCTCAAAGTGAAAGGTCAAGGTCAAGGTCACGCTCAAAATTAACCTCAAACTTGGCATTTTTTCGCATATCTTGCGTGCTAACTTCCAAGATGTTTTGAAATGTTTTGAGGCTTATCAGTTCCCTATTTGTGGTTCATCTTACGATACAAGACTGCTCAAAGGTCAAGGTCACAGAAGAGTATCCCTGCTAGAGGCTATTTCACTGATTCAAGTTAGTAATAATAAATAAGACAATTTTGCAATCCGGAAGCTCTAAATGAAGGCTTAGAGGAAAATAGATGTCAGATTCGTGATCAGCGGGTACAAATCCATCATAAACGACCTTTCATGTGTCAAGGTCAACCAGAGGTCATTCGAGGTCACATGAGGTCAACATAAAATTTGACCTTTTCCGAACAAAATACACATCATTCGACGCGGCTTGACAAGGCGAATGCGATGGTACCACTGCCATGGCTCTAGGACCATTTTTGTCGAAGTTATTTGCGAAAAACTTAAACCACATTTCGGGGTCGTTGACCTGACCTCTGACCTCAGGTCACCAAAACTTTTTTTTTCTATTTTTCTCTAGGTCAAACGCTACACAACCGTGCTCGTAATTTGTCTTTATCTCTAAAACTCTATTTTTAGCAGCTATTTGAAGTTTGCGTCTGTGACGCCGAAGTTTGCCGTGCAGGGGTCTAGAAAAATGGACCTTGTGACGTCATCAAGGGGGCTAGGTCCAAATTTTTTACTTCAGAAGATGTCAAATTGATGGGAGAAAAGGTACTGAAAGTTTCGCCTACCTATCCCTAAGCGTTCGGGAGCTATCGCAAATATTCGCCAGGGGGGGCGAAAAACGCCCCCCCCGGGCCCGCGAGGGCTAACGAAAGTAATGTTTGGAAGGAATGGGGAAACAATCTTCAATTCTGAAAAAGGAACTGCCCTCATTTCCACATGACATAGGTACTACATTACAATCTGCAGATAAGGTACCTATATGTAGGTATAATGGAAAGATTGGAGTGAGCCGAACACTGTCGAGGTGTTGCGCCATGCAGTGACCGTTCCACTGGGACGAAATAGTGCGCCGCGGGGATAGCTCGCCTGCCGCTTTAACCCTCGCCCGCACATAGGGGGGGGGGGGGTTGCCACCACCCCCCCCCAGGTAGTCTTTCTTCTCTGCACTCAACATTTTTAGAGCTAGAAGGCTGATTTTTCGTATAGCTGCTTGTCTATCCTTTCTTGATGTTCACTGAAAATTTCAAGTTTCTGTGATTTTTGGTTTCGGAGATATGACCTTGTTTTTCAGGTCATGTCATGACCCAAATGGCCAATTCTCAACATCTTGCGTTTGCCATGGGCCTTGTGAGCTTTTGACACCCTGATTTCGGCCTTTTTTACCAGTCTTACCTCCCACCTATCATGGGACATGCTGTTCGACGATGTACAGGGGTCAAGGTCAGGGTCAAGGTCAACCTAGGTCATCTAAGATAATTGCGTTTTAGGCAAGCTGAATTTACTTTTTATGAAGTTTTTTGACTGCATTTTTGGTAAAAGCTTGAAAAGGGAAAGGGTATAACCCAATTAAGTGCGGTATGTAGGTACTTTAGTGCCCAGTGGTGAATGTAGATCTAGACTCCCATGCCCGCAGGATCTCTAGGCCGAACTTAGCCTGTATGTAGGACGTAGGTTTGGGTTGCAAACATAAGCATGCATCGCAAATGTTCGCATTGCAAATGTATGTACGTCAGCTAATGTGCGAAGGACAAAAGTGCGCATCGCAATTGAACGTAGGTATAGTACCTACGTATGGATAAAGGCATGCCGGTTAGGATAAGTTAGGCTAGGCTGGTTTTATCGCTGGTCTAGGTCAGGTCAGGTTAGGTAAGGTTGGGCTGGCCGGGTGGGTTAGGTCCTACGTCAGATCAGGTTTGGCTAGGTTTTTAGCGATGCCTGATTTTGTCCTTGCTTACTTTATCGCCTATCCCAGCCAGCAAATTTGGTCTGAGCCGTAACTAGTTTTACTCTGGCTAGCTCCTGCATTTGCTCCGGCTAAAGTACGGGCAAGGTCCAGCGCTCTACTGGAGCTGACTCACGATCCCGGAGCTCACCCGCACCACAGCCGGACTTATACCGCATCAGCCGTGCCGTACCTCAACCGTACTTCAGCCACAGTAATCCAGAGCAGCTACGAGGCCTGGCCGGACCTGGCCGTAGGGAGCCGGACTTGAGCCGTGGCAGCGAGCCGCACGTGAGCCAGACTTGCCGGTACGAAACCATACCAACTCGGGAGCGCTACGGCAAAGGTGGCCAACCCGGGAATAGAATCATATCGACCAAAACCCCGGCTCTGACACGGCGTTCCGTTTACACCGGCCCAAGTCTGGCATGTCGGAGTTGCTGGGGCAAGACGGACTCGAGCCAAATAAAAAATTGCTTGCTGGGATACACCATCGGATACAACAGACACCGGTAGTGTCCGGTAGAGAGTAACCGTTTGCACGACGGTCTCTCCGGCGAGTGCACCTAATTTGACCAAATCTGCACCTAATCTCTTTTACAGCAAATATCTTAATTTTAGGAATTTATTTCAATGTTTTTAATCGATGATGCTCTCTGATAATACGACAAAGCAGGCATATCATATAAGCAATTAGTGTAGCCCTAGGCCTAGCTGATAGCTACTGAGAGACACACTGAACCTGATTGACCAAATCTGCACCTGATCTGCACCAGATGTGCACCAAATGTGTAGGTACATACCTACCAGATGGCCGTCGTGAAAACGGCTAGTGTACCTAGATTCGAACTCCTAGATTATCCGGTAGGATGTCCACTGTCCAGGCCGATGCCTGAAAATGGGATAACTAGGCAAGGAAATAAAAACATTTTTTTTTTAAAGAACTACCTATGTCAACTCTGCCAGCCCCGTACCACCTTCTTTGCAGCCACGGTATAGGTATAGAGAACTTTTGCAGCCACAGAAGTGGAGGACACCACGGCACCTGGCGGTCTTTATCTAAACTATGCCTTCGAAACATCACCACCAGGCTTAGGTGTTATGAGAGAATTGATGAAATCAACTGAATAGATAGTTTCTCTGTTGCCTGATACACTTGCTCGAATGTAAAGCGAGTCAAAGTAAAGATAGACATATTCCAAGTCCAAGTAGCTAATTCAAATTCACTCTTCGATTCATATTTGTGTTCGGAGTGGTAGATCATCTTGAGACATTTCGACACCGGTGACTTTTCTTGAGAGTTTCGTAAAAAGTCTCTGAGGCATGAAATCTGGAAATCGGTAATCTGGCAACTGCCTAACGTTGACGATACGGTTGAGTCACAAGTGAAGATGGCCGACGGTGAATTAAATGTCGATAATTTGATCTCTCGACTTTTAGAAGGTAAGAATTCATTGAATTGTAACTATGTTTAAGCATATCAAGTGATTTTGTTATGTTGCGCCCTCGGTCCCCTTGGGTTGATCACTTACTTGGTGATAGGGTTCATGATCATGTGCGCCATTTTTGTATAAGTAAATTCAAAAACCCATTCGAATTGTTTAAAGGGACCCTCCCACCTTCAAAAAAGTTAATGAATTTGCATGAAAGTGATGTCGCTCGGTTCAGAAAGAGCAAAAACGAATATCTACCAAATTTCATCGAAAAATGTTCACCGGTTTTCAAGATATTAGACTTTTACTTTTGTTTACTTTTTGGGATCTCCGCTATTCCTAGCGACTTTATTTGAAAGTGCGGCATTTGTTGCGCGCAAAGCAGCATATACCACCGCGTGCTACAAAACGTTTTAGTCAAACATTTAACGGACGTTCGAAAGCCTGATGACGTCATCAGATTCCCGTAATGGTTAAGAGATAGGGACCAAGCTGGTCCCACCCTGCAAGTAAAGGGAAGAAATTTCTTGAACACCATAAAGCTGCGGGGGTTGCGACCAGGATAAATGGTGGTTTCTGAGCCTGGCCGCAAACTTGGCTATCTCAACTCAAAACTAATGTTAAGGTGGGAGGGTCCCTTTAAAGTAAAATGTTTTCGACTTTACGTCCGAAATAATTGTTTTATTTAATGTTGAAATAATATGCTACAAATAATGTTCACAAAAGATGTCAGTTCCATGCTCTGCAATTCTTACATTCTTGTTCTTGTTTTGTCATTTTGTAGTCATAATAATTTTCCTCTCATCTCCAATTTTCCAGAACAATTTTTCACTCCCAATGTTACCAAGAACATCTGCTTGTACATTTGCTGTCCGAGTCGTAAAAATTAGAAAAAATCACTCGATTATCAGTAGTTGAAAAACAGGAGTTGCACTTGTTTTTTTCCAACCAAGGAGAGGCGCTTTACCCAAAGATGTTTTCTACTCAAACCAAATCTAACCAAACCTGACCTAACCTTACCTACAACCTAAAACCTAAAAGTTACAACCTACAACCTACCTACAGTGCCTCTCCTTGGTTGGTAAAACAAGTGTGACACCTGCTTTACTACTACCCAATTATCTTAGCGAGCAGCTCTGATATTCTCTAACATTCAGTTATAAAATGATTATCATAATTGTTTTTCTTTTTGTGCTTTTCTGCAAATTGCAATTTTCCACTTGCAGCCCTCACTGTAATGATAATTAAAATATCCCCATCCAGCACCGTGGGTGAAATATATTTGTGGCACACTGGAAATGAGACCCTTGGTCCAGTGTTAGTTCACAAGGTTTTTTAATTGTATGGTAGATGGTGTTTTATGTGAGTACTTATTATTAGCTTTTTAACCAGTGTAGTCTCTAAAGGGTTAATGAAAAGTGCATTTGAAACATGAATATCTTAAGGCTTTAACACTGACCCTTACCTTCTTTGGGCTAGCTAGTATTATCAGGCTGGTAACATGCTTATTATCATGTGACACACTTTATAAAATTGAAGCTAGTTCAGTAAATCTGTACCTGAAATGTAAAGACATCCGAACAGAAGCTTTCATTAGAACTCCCAGTGTGCACCAAATTGTCTTCACTGCCCACGTCATCAAGTACTGGAACATGTTGTCATCTTTTGTTGTTACTGCCCCCAGCCTAAATGCCTTCAAAGCCAGGTTACACAAGCACTACTGGGCACACTAGAAAATACATCACTCACATTAAAGTGACCATCCCACCTTACCATTAGTTTTGAGTTGAGATAGCCAGAGTTGGCTTGCACTTATAACTGGTTTGGGCACTCATAACATCGAGAAAGGCTTTGATTCAGAGATATTTAATTTAAAAGTTGCAGCACTTTGGATTCAAAGGGGCTAATGCATTTGAATGCCCCCTCTGAATTTGTGATGTCAGCACATAACATAACACAGTGATTTCAAAATCTTATACTAACATCTTTGTGAACAGTGGTGGTATATGCTGTTTGCGTGCAACGTCTGCCACACTTTTTTATTGCTTCCAAATAATGTTGTTGGAACAGCAAGGCTCCAAAAAATAAACTTGAGTAATCGTCCAATATGTAAAAATAGAAATAAAACGGTTAATATTTTTCAATGAAACTTGGTAGATATTCATTTTTGCTCACTCTGAACCATGTCACACCACTTTTATGCAATTCATTAACTTTTTTGAAGGTGGGAGGGTCCCTTTAATGACTGAGACAGGATGTAGTGAGGAGCTGCTCAGTAGGGCTGGATGGTTGAGGCTATATAACCTTTAGAAAGTATATGTAACCATTGACTAGGGTTGGTGTATTTGTTGCCATAGGTGGGCTATTGTGTCCCTCTGTTCCCGAATGCCATCATAATTTCAGAAATGGGGAAGCAGCTGGCAGCAGGTATCATTACCAAGTTATGCTGCTTTGGTGATTTCCTGCTCCCTTTCAATGCAGTCCACTTCTCTGCCTTTTCATTACTCTGTTATTTTGGTCTTGTAGCCTACTTGGCTGAGTGCAAGTAGGAGTTGAGATGGTGAGAGTTTCAAGTCACCTTGGCACTTGATATGTGAGTTTCAGTTGCAGCAGCTGCAGCTAGTTAAAGCTAGTTGAGTGGGACAGGCTACTAATTGTCTTCTCCAGTTTTTGGCATCCAAATTCTCCAGTTGCCCAGAATTGCTTGTTCAGGCAGTAGGTAGGGTTTAGGGTCTACCTATGCAGCATGCTTGACATGGACTCCAGCTCTGTCAGTCTATCCATTCAAACATTCAAGCTAATCTCTTAAAAATGTTATTTAAGTAAGCTTGCCTAGAAGTCAAGCCTTTGTTGTAGCAGTAGGATAGCAAATAAATAGATAGTTAAATGTGCTGTCTCACACAATATCGCCGGTCTTTGATTGGTGGTTCAGCCCGCTGGTTCCAGAACATGTCTCTTCCAGCCTGCTTTCTTCCGGGACACATCGCTATCCCAGTCCGCCATTTCCCCTTTCCATTCAGACGGGCACTGAGGCTCAATGGCTGACATGCATTTCCCCTTTGTTTTCAGTGCGAGGATGCCGGCCGGGTAAGTCTGTGCAAATGTCGGAGATGGAGGTGCGCAGCCTCTGCCTCAAGTCGCGCGAGATCTTCCTGCAGCAGCCCATCCTACTGGAGCTGGAGGCGCCCCTGAAAATCTGCGGTCAGTGAAACTATTTCTTCCAGGTGACATGTGATATGCTTGAGTATTTAATTTAGTGTCTTTAGTATAAGTTTAGTAGTCGCTGAAAGTTCGGTTATCTCATGTATATTTATACAGGTGCTCGGGTAGTAAGTGCCAAACAGGTGCTTAGTAGTAAGTGCCAAATAAATAGCATTTAATGTTGATGTAAACATGGCTTAGGATGTTTATGCAGAAATTTCGCTAGTCTGTCAGTCTCCTTTTACTGGTAGGCAATGCTAATAATCAGAGCCTCTGACACACGACTTTCCTAATGATCGATTTGAGTCATTTATGTTGCCACGCTGCTGCGTTGACCGTACATTGCTGAAATATTGCACTATCTGCATCAGTTGCGTAGAAAGATTCATATTTTTAACTTCTTCCATGCCCTCGTGGGGATGTGAAGATAACATTAGAAGCTACAGAATCTTTTCTTTTCCGCCTCCACTATACCACCTATTTATCTTTGTTGATAAAATGAGCATACAGTTCACCTCGTAATATATTATAGGGAACATACATGTATAAGGTGTCTTGATTTTGTTCAGACTGAATATTTTTTTCGTATCCACATTTTATCTGCCCTCTCCTTACCATTCCTATAATTACTCTGACCTCCTCTCCAGAGCCATCCACGGCCAGTACACGGACCCGCTACAGTCCCAGTCTGACATCCCCCTTACCAGTGCTGTAACTATTCTAACCTCCCCTCCCCGCGCAGGCGACATCCACGGCCAGTACACGGACCCGCTACAGTCCCAGTCTGACCTCTCCTTACCGGTGCTGTAATTATTCAGATCCCTCCTCTCCCCGTCCAGAAACATCCACGGCCAGCACACAGACCCGCTACAGTCCCAGTATGACCTCCCCTTACCTGTGCTGTACATACAGGGTGTCTCAAAAGTTCGCTTACACATTTCCCATGTCAATAAAGCATATAAGAACCGGCCAAAAATCTAAGGTTTTGGTGTCCGTGTGTACACTAGACAAATATGCATGCTTTGACAACTGATTCGGAAGGTTGGAAACCAAACCCTTTGCTGTATCTCCAAAAATATTTGCCCATACCGATATTCGTCACTCCGTCAGCTGCCGGATGCTGATAAAAGGTTACCAGCTTTCAAGCTCTTGTAGGGGAATCCCCCGCAGTTTCTGCGTCGGATTTAGGTTTGACGAGCTCCCCGGCAACATCCGCTTCTCCCTGAAAGCCGACAGCTTGCATCGACACCATCCGTGAGTATTTTGTAGGTCTTCTCTGGCGCTAACTCCTTCATGAATGACTGGCGCCGACTTCCCAAGCACCATTTTTCTTTTCAAAACAACCCCATTCCTGAACAAATGGGAAGTGCCAGGGGCAAATTTTTCGCAGCATATCTTAGCAGAATGTGTCGGCCATCTGTTTCTTAGACACATTTTGCAAATTTTGCAAATCCCGAACGCTCGCCATTCTCAATGCCAAGACCTTCGCTGGGTTCCGGAGTGTTTTCCTCAGGAGAGGTTCTGCTTTGTAAACGGCCAAAACCTTTCCATCGTGCGGTTTTGTCCGGATTTTGTGTGTAAAAGAAAGCTATTTGCTCCAGATCTGCCTCTTGAAACTTCGTTAGATAAAACTTTACATTAATTGACACTTTTGGAGGGTCACTTGTCCTCGGCATTGACGATTTTCGCATTATTTTCCCTCAAAATTTAGCGTTATAGATATTATAAACAATTTAAAATGATATTTTGTCTTTATTTTATGATGACCTGCAATTTTTGAAACTGGGTAACCTCTGTCTGTGAGCTTCTAGTCAGTTTTCAATAGTTAGGACTGCATTTTCAGCTGCTTTCCGGAGCACGAGTCTGCTGCGGTACAAGGGTCGTTCAAAGCGCTGTTAGTCTCGCATGGTTTTGTCCTTCAAAAATTTTAGCCACCGTTTTTATTAGATGACCAACATGTTGTACTCATCCTCGCCGACACTTTGCCATGTGTCATTTCCGACCTAACCATTCCCATTACTCGTGAAGCAGAGAGTTTCTCAGCCGACCCGAGTATGCGACCTCCATTTTCATGCCTGATCCATGGTCAGAGGTGAACCCTTTTTGTGAGCTCATGAAGGGTCGAATGCGCTTGAAAACAATGAAGCTGCTTGAGGAAGGTTGTTACCAATGCCCATGCAAAATTTCGACTGTTAATTTCTTGTTGATTCAGAATTATTGACAAAAAAGCATGGCTGGTACCTGTAAGCGAACTTTTGAGACACCCTGTAATTATTCTGACCCCTCCCCGCGCAGGCGACATCCACGGCCAGTACACGGACCCGCTACAGTCCCAGTCTGACATCCCCCTTACCAGTGCTGTAACTATTCTAACCTCCCCTCCCCGCGCAGGCGACATCCACGGCCAGTACACGGACCCGCTACAGTCCCAGTCTGACATCCCCCTTACCAGTGCTGTAACTATTCTAACCTCCCCTCCCCGCGCAGGCGACATCCACGGCCAGTACACGGACCCGCTACAGTCCCAGTCTGACATCCCCCTTACCAGTGCTGTAACTATTCTAACCTCCCCTCCCCGCGCAGGCGACATCCACGGCCAGTACACGGACCCGCTACAGTCCCAGTCTGACATCCCCCTTACCAGTGCTGTAATTATTCTGACCTATCATGTCCCGTGCAGGCGACATCCACGGCCAGTACACGGACCTGTATAGTTCTAGTTCTAGTCTTCCTGCTCACCAGTGCTGTAACTGTTTTGACCTCCCCTCCCCGCGCAGGCGACATCCACGGCCAGTACACGGACCTCCTGCGACTATTTGAGTACGGCGGCTTCCCACCGGAGGCCAACTACCTCTTCTTGGGAGACTACGTCGACCGAGGGAAGCAGTCGCTAGAGACCATCTGCCTCCTGCTGGCCTATAAAATCAAATACCCCGAGAATTTCTTCCTTCTGCGCGGAAACCACGAGTGTGCCAGCATCAACCGCATCTACGGCTTCTACGATGAATGTGAGTACCCGTCGCCTGGTGCTTCGCGTGGTTTCGCTGTAGTTTGTTCTAAAATTTGCGTTTTTCAGGACAATTGTCTACGATATTTTAGTTTAAAGGAAAAGGGCCACCTTCGTGAAATATGAAGATATCGTTGTTTTTTATTTTGACATTATTATTTTTCATTTTCTTTTTAAAACTGGTGCCAGAAGTGCACAATTCGCTAAAAAGTATTAAAAACTATATAACATATTGGTACTATGTTGATACTCTCTACGGCACCTACTGTATGATGGCATAGCGATGACGTCACACTCAAGCCAATCAGCGTTCAGAAGACAGACTCGTCGGATTGTGTCAGATAAGCTGATTGGTTAAAGCTGAGCTGGTTGGAGCTGATTGGTAAAAAACCAAAGCCTCGCCGCGGGTGGCTGTATTGTCGGATAAGAACGCATTCCTGGGATAAGGACGCATTCCTGGCGTATTTTCTTTTAAAATTGCCGATAACTACGAATGGAGGCCGAAATCGGCCGTAAGGAGGTATACAATTAGGTTTTCGGACACGGGCTACAAGATGGCTATCTCAGTTTCAATCCCCATGTTAAAGGTGGCCCTTTTCCTTTAATGGTCATCACACCAATGACGACCTGCTTTTGGTGTTATCACAGCTGAGAGAGATATGCACTCAACTTGGCCCGATAATGACAGACATTATCTCTGTTTCACTGATGTTATCAGCACCTCTGGGAGTGGGAAGGTAGCTTAGTGTCGAAAGAGCATCACTTCACAATCTTAGTGACCCATTATGACGTAATTCTGTGAGCTACAGACATGAGATATACGATCTCTCGACCACTAATAGGTACTGCTAGTCCAGTCTGACATGCAATATTTTCCACGTTCATCTCATCTCACTACATAATATGTATAACCTCCCCCCCCCCCCCCTTTCCTCCTCCTTTCAGGCAAACGGCGCTTCAACATCAAACTCTGGAAGACGTTCACCGATTGTTTTAACTGTCTGCCGATCGCGGCCATCATTGACGAGAAGATCTTCTGCTGCCACGGCGGCCTGTCGCCCGATCTTCACAACATGGAGCAGATCCGACGCATCATGAGGCCCACGGACGTGCCAGACACAGGTATTGGCCAGACGGCGAGCGGGCGGACTGGAGATAGGTAGCACTGTGGGGTTAGGGTGGTGTTGTGAGGTGGGATGGTTGGCCGAGCTTGGCAGAGATTGCTGTGCAAGGAGATTGGTCTTATGTCATCTCTGTTCGATATGGTGGGCTGAGATAAGATATTGCTTAGCTATTTGATAACATGATGTGGGAGCTTGATTGTTTGTTGCTCAGTGCTTTGTAAACTGACATTTGTGTCACGTCCTTTCATATTCGAGGCGAAAATAGTGAGTTATGTATGACACTCATTCACATATGTGTTTCTGCTGCATAACGAGCAAAATTATGCATTTGTAGCTGACGTTTTGTTCCTGATCTATCGTCTCTCCTCTCTCCGATTACAGGCCTGCTATGCGACCTGCTGTGGTCGGATCCGGATAAAGACGTCCAGGGCTGGGGCGAAAACGACAGAGGCGTCTCGTTCACATTCGGTGCCGACGTGGTGTCAAAGTTCCTCAACCGGCACGACCTGGATCTCATCTGTCGCGCCCATCAGGTCAGTTATTGGCCGCGGGATTGGGGCGGCAGGGACGTGGGGCTTCCCGGGGCCGGTGACGGATGGGGCGGGGTGGGGACGAAGTTGCTGTTCTGTGGACAGGCTTGCACTTTGTTTATTGTTTATATCGGTTAATTTGCACCGTCAGTTTTTGGTTGGGTATTATTACGCCATTTCCGTAACATTGGCATTAATAGAAGTTAGCACACGAACAAGTGTGACAGTGGTGTTTTTCGTTCATTTCATGTTCATTTGTTCACCATGTTCATTTCTCATGCCCTGTCATAAACACACACCGATCGTGTTGCAAGGTGCGAGCCCTGACTTCCTTTCCATGCCGTCTTCCATCCGTCTTCTATAGCAATATCCGTGTCATATCACATGTATCCCTCTATTCCATCCCTGTACCTACTTATGAACCGAACAAAGCCGGCGCTCCATGCCTGCCGGTCATATCGATCTATCGACCATCCGCTGTGACCCCCTCGTGACCCCACCGCGCCTGACCCGTCTCCCCTCCCCGCCCCCGGATCAGGTGGTGGAGGACGGCTACGAGTTTTTCGCCAAGCGGCAGCTGGTGACTCTCTTCTCGGCGCCCAACTACTGCGGCGAGTTCGACAACGCCGGCGGCATGATGTCCGTCGACGAGACGCTCATGTGCTCCTTCCAGGTGGGTGACGGGACCGGCTGGGCAGAGGCGTTCTCTAGCTCTGGAGGTGCAGACAATTGATGGAGGTGGTAGTGATGGTCGGGCTTTGGTTGGTGGATGTTAGGCTGTAAATGTTGACTGGGGGAAGTGATGCTTGTTCTGTCAAGCCTATTCTCATTAAAGGCTTACCATAAATGCTGACGAAGCATTTCGTCAAGCTTACTGAAGTGTTCCGATTGGTACAATCACGGACTTGTTTATATAGAGAAGTCTGTGGTACAGTAAATGGGGAACCCACGCTACAAGTGCACTCAGGCTGTAGGTACAATCGGCCGTTGTCTCCATCATTCTGCCAAGAGTGATTGAATCGGATGGGTTGGTTTGGCTCATAGTCGTAACCCTAGTTGCCCCGCAAATGATGAGTGTTAGAAATATTACAGCCACCTGCAGTTGCGCCTGGGTCATTGGCGCTAACTTTAAATGGGGTTTAACTTACTTCCGATATGTAGCAGGTTACGGTACTATCTTCGGGCTGTAGCATATTCAACATATCCGTTGGCCACCCTCCCTCTGTAACGCAGTGCATTCCCTCAACTTTCAAGCATTCTCGTATGCTCTTAACACTGAATCATTGGACCTACCTGACAAAGATAAGCTGGCTGAGCTGTTGACTGAAGTTTTTTATCCAGTCAGTGACAATACAGTGGTTGAGATCATTCGCCTCTGCGTCCTTATCTGGTGGTAACCGAGATAGGGCGGTTATCTGACCCGCTGACTGATATGAGAGGGACGCCCAGAGTTCAGACGGGGCCTGCTCTCACGCGGCGCGGAGGAGTGGCGCTAGGATGATCTAGGACCACCCCATCGCTAGTTGGTTGGAAGGGGGCGCACTCTGGCCGCCGCCCGGGAACATGCATTTCTGATTTTAGTCGAGGCACTTTTTGTGATGGGCGCAAATTGACCTTTGCAGTCGGGCGCCCTAAGACCCCAATAACCAAACGTGGCGCTTTTTTGTGTTCAGAGGTTTAATTTCTGTTCAGTGTCTTCATTGTTCAATTTTGTTTTCCTTGATTTCCAGGCACTTAAATATGAAGTTATTTTGCTGTTCACATGTCTATCCGGGGATCATTATGAGAATCGTTGACGCTTGAAGCAGTTAGAGCCAGGATCATGTGACTCGTTGGGTGTGTTTACACCGTTTTAACAGTTTTTATGCTGTTGATCTAATTACTACTGGACGATGATCAGCTGTTTCGGTGATTTTTATATGTTTTATCTCAATGCCACACTATCTGGTAAGCACATGACGCGTCAACCTGAGTCCGCATTACGTGGCGCGTGATAAGGACAGTGAAGATGTGAGATAGGCATCAATGAAGGCTTAGTTTAGGAACTATTCTACGGATACCCAGTGTACTGACTGTAACCCGTTCGGTTGACAGATCCTGAAGCCGTCTGAGAAGAAGCCAAAGTACCAATACACGGGCATGGGCAACAGTCGACCGGTGACGCCGCCCAAGAACCCCACCAAACGGAAGTAGGAGGCAGCGTGGTGCCGCGCCGGTCCGCTACCGGCCGGCCGCGGCCCCGACCGAGTTCCGCCCGCCGCCGCCAGGGGCGCTGTCAGCACCTCAGGAGACCCGGCCGCAGTGGGCCGCGCCCGACCATGGCCCGCCCACGTTACTCGGTGTTAGGTAGAGGCTGTTAAATTAAAGCGTCGGCCGCGCCCAGCCGGTGCCGGGCGCCACCGAGGCCGGCCCGCACGACGGACCACAGTGAGACAGTGAGACAAGCGAGCCGCCACGCGCAGTGGCGCCGTGCCGACGTGTGCTGATCAGTGGCGTCGTCATGACGACGACGACGCGTCTCGGCGTTCCGTGTGATTCGGGGACTGATGGGAGCGAGGTGGCGGCGCAGGGCGAGCCCGCCCGAGCGGCCGAGACCCAGCCGGCCGGCCGCAGGTGGACATACCTGATCGCCTATTGTAGCGTGTAGCCGAGCCGCCAGCGGTCCGGAGATCAATGCTTGTCGTCCATCGGGCGCCCGGAGCGCCCACGGCGGCGGCCCTGCGCGCCGGGCCGAGCGCCGCCGCGCGCCGGCGCCGACGCCGACGCCGCGCTATGTATCTCGTCTGGTCTGTATGCCGTTCCGTTTGGTCCCGTTGCTCTGTATATCTGTTCGCTGTCTGTGCCGCCGTCGGCCGGCCGCCACCGGCGCTGCGCGGGGGCGCTGCGAGCGCCGGCGGCGCCGCCGGCCGGCCGGCCTTCGTTCCTTTACGTCCTCGCCCGTTCTCTTCGTGTTTGTGCACGGCTCCGGCGCCGTTCCGACCGGTCGCCGCCCGTCCCGCTGTATTATGTGACAGAGTTTGCCCACAGACTGGTGACAAATATATAATTTGAAATGACGTCACGGTCTGTGTGCTGGATGCTTCGCATCGCGTGGCGACAGACGGCTTGCTATACACATTCACCGCTAGGTGTCTGAAGGTGCACTGAACTGACCACGGAGCAAGATCGAGGGAATATTTCCGAGCCCTTTGAATGTTAGGTCCTATGGCGATCTTGATTTTGCGCTATTTGGTCTCAACGACTACTTGAAACTTTGCTAATAGTTAATCGATGATCGATTTATTTTATCATGTGTTATTCCGTTTTCGTTGCCTCCAGTGCTTCCCTTTCTTTTTATCTTTTGCTCGTAACCTATAAAGTGCACGATGTCATCGGATCCGAATGTTAAAGTATGTCCTGCTAAACTGTGTTATACGACGCGCAGGTTACTGCCCCCTCCCCTTCACGGTTGAAAACGTTATATCATTAGTCTGTTCCATATCAATCTTGCAGTCGGAGGTCGGAGTTTCTTCGGCAGATCCGCTCCTCCGCTCAAGAATTTGCGTCTTATAATGTAAAGGCCGCCCCACACTGGACCTCGCATGCGGGTTGCGAGTTTTTGGGTTTTCGGGTTTCTTCAAAATCAAATAATACAATCTAAGCTGAGTGACCCACACTACGTCGACGTTCGGAGTGTCCGACGGGTTTGACAGCCTTTTGGTCAGTCCGTATTTCATGTTCATTTTGGACGGTTTTTGTCAGATGACATTTGCCGAATGATAGGGCTTGATGCTAAACATAGGTGTAGCAACGTATGTCTTTGGTGAAGGATACCTTTCACCAAAGTTTTAGATTGGTGAAGGATCCTTCACCAATCTTGAGCAAGGCAGGTGAGGGTCTTCACTCTTCACCAATGCTAGAACGACTGGGTTCGACGGTCGATCTAATGTTAAAAAAGAAAAGCAATGCCGAATGGGATGAACAAAAAGGCTAAAACGGCAACAGGTACCCAATTACTCCATCCTTTCAGTTATGAAGTGTTATGCCCACCTTCTTCACAATTCACGCCATTTAATCAGGGCCGGAGAAACCGGGGGGGACCGAGGGGGACCGTCCCCCCCGGGCCCCATTAATTCCATTTCCTGGGGGGGACCTGGGGGGGACCTAATATATAACGAAAGTGGGCCCTTCTGACTTATGTTTAAAAAAGTAATCAGCCATTTTGGCCTGTATTAGTGTTTTAAATCTCCCATTCCAAGCATCGGAACCCTATATCAGTGAGTAGATCTCAACGAGTCGTAGTCCACCACAAGCTAGTGGGCCCTTAATGGTTCCGTGGTGACCGTGAACCATCAGAGAGCCATGGGCCCTCATTGAGTCCATGTGGTCCAGGTCCAGTAGTGGGCCTGTTGAAAATTCGACAGGTGTTTGCTAGACATACTTTTCTTTCACATACCTCCTATGTACAGCAACGCATGAATAATTCAGTGGCGGATCCTGGGGGGGGGGGGGGGCACGGGGTCATGACCCCCAAATGGTCTGAGAGGGTCAGTTGACCCCCCTCCAAAAGCCGAATACCTAAATGCGTTATAGACGCCGTCTTGCATGCTCAAAATCACCTATCAAACACATCTGAGCTAATACCTTTGTTTTTGTCTGGATCGTGTTGCGTGAAAAGGCGTATTGAAGGCCAGAATCTCACTCGTTTTTGTCTCAACCGTGCGAGCACCAGGGGATGATACAGGAAAACTCCAAGGGGATGGTCATGAATTTAATTTATGGTGCCCCTACCTATACCCAAAATTAAAAACTCAACGGATTTCGGCCACTTAATTTTGGTGATGCGGTGTTTCCATCTTTGTTTTTTATATTGTTTATTTTATTTTTAGTGCCCCTGGGCCCTGGCAGGCCTGTGGTGCCCCTGGCCGGACTGTGGTAACCCTGGCGGGCCTGTGGTGCCCCTGCTAGGTCGCTGGGGCCCCCTGGGCCCTGACAGGACTGTGGTGCCCCTGACAGCCCAAGGTGCCCCTGCGAGGCCGGTGGTGCCCCTGGCAGGCCTATGGTGACCCCTGAGGTGCCTTCAAAAGAGGACGTGGGGCCATCAGAAGCTGCTAAATGACCGTCGGCATTGGGCCTTAAGGGAACTGCATGGCCTCTGCTGTGACCCAAAATAAGGATCTCGAATGTCGAAATGGGACCTTCAGAGACAGGTAGGGTGTCAGGGACCCTCATTTCACCGGTATGAGGCGGTAGGCACCCAAAAAGCAGTCGGAGTCCCTCAGATGCCGGAATACTTATGCATTACTTACGCGGCATGCTTACCTTCTTACATTTTGCGCCCTCGGAGGCCAGCGCGGGATCCTCATAGGTCGATGTGAGCCCTCTGAAGCCGGTGAGAAACCTCAAAGGCCATCATAAGACCATCGGGCCACTGGACAGTATGAGATTCAAGAGGCAATTTGGACCTTCGGAGACCGGTGTGGGCCCCAGGGACGTACCCAAGGGGGGACGGGGCGCCCCCATTGGGGTTTCAGGAGGCCCCCGTGGGGCGCCGAAAGCCCACGGGGGCCAAAATCACGTCGGAGGCGTAAGAAATTCACGGGAATCCAAAAAATCACATCAGGACATTCAGGGCCCTCTGACCAGCCTGACAGCTAGGGTCCTTCTTACTTCCTGAGGCCTCCTTCTCCTTCCTTCTTACTTCCTGAATAACCGCCCGCTAGTGCCTGTGTCTGACCGCTAGGGCCCCTCTGACTCCTCAGTAGAGAGGAGGCCCTCAGTAGGTAGGAGGCCCTCTGTAGAGAGGAGGCCCCCCGTAGAGAGAAGGCTCTATGTAGAGAGGAGGCCCTGTATAGAGAGGAGGCCCTCTGTGGAAAGGAGACCGCCTGAAAGCAGAAGGCCCTCTGAAGAGAGGAGACCCGCTGTAGAGAGGAGACCCGCTGTAGAGAGGAGGCCCTCTGTAGAGAGGAGGACTTCCTCAGTAGAGAGGAGGCCCTCTGTAGAGAGGAGGACTCGCGCCTCAGTGGAGAGGAGGCCCTCTGAAGAGAGGAGGCCCTTTGCAGAGATGAGGTCCTCTGTAGAGAGGAGGTTCTTTGAAGAGAGGAGGCCCTCTGTAAAGGAGGCCCTCTGAAAGGGAGAGACCCTCGGTAGAGAGGAAGACCTCTGTAGAGAGGAGGCCTTCTGTAGTTAGGAGGCCTTGCGAAAAGAGAAGGCCCGCAGTAGAGAGGTGGTCCTCTGTAGAGAGGAGGCCGCCCCCCTCTGTGTTTTGACAAATCTTTTTGCAAATTTTTCGCGGCGCTTCGCGCCGCCGATTCATGTACGTACTGGTCAATACGAAATCATGACTGTAATTACACCAATCAACCGTGACAAATTGAATTAGAACTCATATGTGTAACTGTGAAGGAACTCCGGTTTGTACTGCCATGCTCAAAGGGTGGTAAAAATTGTGTTTTGGAGCTGTGTTTTGACAAATACTTTTGCAAATTTTCTCGGCGCCATACACCAATCAATATTGATGTAATAACATCAACCGTGTCAAATTGAATCGGAATTCATATGTGTACTGTGAAGGAACTCCGGCTTGTACTAAGCCGGAGTCAAAACGCCGGAGTCAAAACGGTTTTATATATTTTTATAGCATGCTATAAGGGTTGTAATGTTTGTGTTTTAGAGCTGTGTTTTTACATTTTTTTTGCAAATTTTTGCGGCGCTTCGCGCCGCCGATTCCTTAACAGGTCAATAAGAGAGATCATGACTATATGCTACTATTGCATTAGGCTAAAAGTGAGGTAACTATATCTACTTCTGGGTTTTTAAGTACGTCGATCCCCCCCCCCCCCCCAGTAAAAAATCCGTAGCGACGCCCCTGTATAGGTGGGTTTCACTAACTGAAACTACTGAGCCGAGTGACTAATAATGATAAAACTTAATCTTAGAAACGACGAAGATCAAATGTCATTTGATCTCGACATACTCGCTCCCTACCCCCCCCCCCCCCCCCCGGTCGTCAGAATTCATCCATCAGACCCGGCATGTCGGCCGACTTGTGACCCCCTCCCAAACGTTTCCCTAGATCCGCCCTTGGAAGGTAATATGATTTTGGGCCCTTTGAGACACTTGGGGCCCTTTTCCTTGAGGGCCCCTCGAGGCCTAGTCCCCCCCACCTCTGAAATCATTTCTCCAGCCCTGCATTTAATAAACCAGTATAACGCCTTTTGGGGCGACTAACGGAGCGAGCGAGAGGGTGAGCTTTGCACGTGCGAAATTTCGACGGGGTACCTCCAGCTGACTTGTGCACGGCACCCTACTAACCGGTCTCTAGCGATGTGCCAAATTTGAGCACAATCGGCCCAGTCGTTCTCGAGATCTGGAAGCGGCACCCTACACGTGCGCACGTGCAAAATGGGTCCCAACTGACTTTTGCACGGCACCCTACTAACCGGTCCCTAACTGTGTACCAAATTTGAGCGCCATCGGTCCAGCCATTCTCAAGATCTGGAATCGACCCCTGCACGTGCGCACGTGCAGCAGCACCCCAACTCTGGCACATGGATATGCATTGCCTAGTGGGTGCCTACCTACATGCCAACTTTCAGCGCAATCGGCCAAGTAGTTACCGAGATATTGCAACAATTACAAAAGTGACACCTCTTCGTTTTGCATGTGGCACGTGCATAAGGGGTCACCCACATGCATCGGGAATAGTCCAATACTTGGTAGAAGGAATGAAGCTACCCTACAAAAATTACCGCGTGTAAATCGGTCAAGTGGTTGCTGAGATATAAGCGTCGCAGAATCGTGACCACGGCCGGCCGGCCGGCCGGTCGGCAGGCCGCTCATACTCAGAAATTTCCGTTAATCTAAGGAAAGACTACGCTCGCTTCGCTCGCTCCGTAATGATAGGTAAAGTCGAAAACTGTATTGAGGCTGGTAAACGTGTAAATGTGTCTCAGTATGTAAATGCCGTGAATATCAAAATATATTGGCTTGTTTTTACTCGTGGGAAAGTTGTAAGACTTTGGTCACGAAAAAAGAGCAGTGGAGCATACCTTTAGGTTCCAAAGGTATGCTTTGAT